CCATACAGGAAATAAAACTGGGAATTGAATCAGGGAGTGGCTCAAAGGCAGCGAAGGAAGTGGCATTAAATAGCTTTCCCTGGGAAGACATTAGAGACCTAAATCAGGTCAAAGTTGTCAAGAGTGAAGGGGTCAGTCTTCAGTGATGGCAAACCTTTTGAGCTCGACGTGTCAGCATTTTGAAAAACCCTAACTTAACTCTGGTGCTGTGTCACATATAGAAATGTTTTGATATTTGCAACCATAGTAAAACAAAGACTTATATTTTTGATATTTATTTTATATATTTAAATGCCATTTAACAAAGAAAAATCAACCAAAAAATGAGTTCCAGTGTCACCTCTGACACGCATGTCATAGGTTTGCCATCACTGGTCTAGATAGATAGAGGAAAAAGAGATTAGATAGATAGCAGATAGATAGATGATAGATAAGATAGATGATAGATAGATAGATAGATGGATAGATAGGCAGGCATATAGAGGGAGAGGTTACTTGGTCCAAGGAAATGAGGAAGAGAAAAGCAGATGAGAGAAACATGATATTTTAGGCCATCTTAGATACCTCTGAAAAATCTCTTTCTTTGAGGAAATGAAAGACCTTTGGTATAACTTCTCTTTGACAGTTACATCAAAGTGAATTGATGGGTCCACACCCAGTGAATGGTGTGGGCAAATGAAGAATTCAAGACAGCTGATAAGGATGCCTACAAGAAAAACCTTACTTGAGTAGTGTTAAAAAGACCCTGTCTCCACTGCCAGTAAAAGGTGGGGCAGCGGGAAGAAGGGGCAATAAGTAAATAATTCATTTAATGTAGCTCCATATAGATTTCTTTCACAAACTCTAGATTTCTATGGACTAGAAAGAGAATGTTAAATATGTTTAGATAGCGCTGTAGCTTTATTTGCAATCAGTTTTCTCTCTTTTTTAAAAAAAAAATTTCAAATAACTTGACGTGAACATCAGTTCCCAGGTTCTCATGAGTTGGGTATTTTCTTCTTTGAGAAGCAGCGAGATTTTAGCTGGCCAAATTGAAGTCATTCTCTGCATTCATAGAACATATTCTGAAATGTTTGGGGCAATATTTATTTTTATATCACTATAGAAACTCCTAAAAGACATGTGGTTCATGTGAGAGAGGAAGTTGTCAGTATGAAGTTTAAGAAACCCTTGGGACAATAGATATCAGAATTTTATGTCTCTTTCTGTAGGTCTGAAATATGGCTAAGGATTTCCCATTAAGAAGTCTCCCAATAATTCAAAGACAACCTTTTGAAAAACTCTATCCTAAGAACATCACAGGGACTGTAAACCAGCTAGCTCAGTGGTCGGCAAACTGCGGCTCACGAGCCACATGCGGCTGTTTGGCGCCTTGAGTGTGGCTCTTCCACAAAATACCACGTGCAGGCACGCATGTACAGTGCAATTGAAACTTTGTGGCCCATGCACAGAAGTCGGTATTTTGTGGAGAGCCACACTCAAGGGGCCAAAGAGCAGCAGGCTCGCGAAGCCGCAGTTTTGCGAACCACTGGGCTAGCTTATTAAAGTTGGAACTGAAAGTTCATAGAAACCAAACATTTTCTCAGAATATTCTAGAAAGTCCTTAAGTCCACTGGGGGCATATCTGTTGAGATGTTGGAGCCTCTTAGTGGGTCAGTAGATTTTGGTCACCTCTCAGTTGTTCTTACAGGCACATCACTTAGGTCAGACATTGGGGTATCACACCTCCCCCTTCTGGAAAGAGCTGAGAGTTCTCCTTGGCAGAAACACCTTCCCACACATCCCAGCTTTCACCACTGCCTTTGCTCAGGGACATTCACTCGAGGCCTCCTGTGTTTGACCTTCAGCCCAAGGACACCGGTTTTCCACAAAAGGCAGCACACCTGTCCTTCACTGCCTTTCAGGAGTTCCATATAATGGATGTTTTCATAAAGACATTCCAGCAGGGGCAGGAAACGATCACAAAACCCTAAAACATGCTCATTCTTCAGAGATTGTTCCCTAAAGAGTGTCCAGTGGGTCTCTCATATGGGTAGCTTCGTGATTGGCAAATATTCTTCTATGCTGTTTTCTTGAGTAAAAGTTTTTGAAGGGCCATGATTCATTTGACAGAAAATGCTCCTTCCAAAACTTTTGGAAAATTACAGCATTCTGATCATCTTATATACAGGTTATTTGAAAGTCACCTTAGATATCATGCATGTATTGATTAGGAATTGTTATGGCCCTTGAAGGCAACTGAAATATATCCCATATTTAATCTCTACCGGATAAATGTCATTTTCTTTAGGATTTAAAAAGCACTTTGGAAGTATACAGTCTCTGGGTCATAATTAGGAATGACAATTATCAGAATACTAGAGGCCCTTCAGCCTGGCCAGCACCCTCTCACAATCTGGAACCCCTCTGGGGATGTAATAGTGTGAGAAGCAGCAGGCGACTGGGGAGGAGCCTGAGCCGATCCTCCGCTCATCTTGGCCATGCTGCACCTGCCGCCACTGCTTGGTATGCTCGCTGATCAGTGCTCCTGCATTGAGCGTCTGCCCCCTAGTGGCCACTGCATATCATAGAGACCTGTGGACCTGTCATTCGGTTGGTCAGTCGCTTTGGCTTTTATATATATGGACTAGAGACCCAGGGCAGGAATTCGTGCATGGGTGGGGTCCCTAGGCCTGGCCGGTTATCAGGGCTAATAGGGGCCGGACTGATGTGGGCTGGGCCAATCAGAATCAGGGCCTGCCGGCCAGGGGGTGAGGGATGGGGGAAGGGACCATGGGAGGTTGGCTGGACCTTATCGGGTGGATCAGGGCCGGCTGGCTGGAGGGAGGGACTGGCTGGTGGGAGGGACCACAGGAGATTGGCCGTTTGGGGTAGGGACCGGCTGGGTGGGGAGGAAATGCAGGAGGTTGGCTGGCCAGGGGGAGGGACCTGGGGAGGTTGGCTGTGGGAGTGCACTGACCACCAGGGGCAGCTCCTGCATTGAGCGTCTGCCCCCTGGTGGTCAGTGTGCATCATAGCAACTGGTCAACCTGTCCTTCCTGTCTTTCTAGTCGTTCGGTCGTAATGGTTACTTAGGCTTTTATAAATATACTAGAGGCCCGGTGCACAAAAATTTGTGCACTCAGAGGGGGGGGAGGAGGTGTCCCTCAGCCTGGCCTGTGCCCTCTCGCAGTCTGGGACCCCTCAGGAGATAATGACCTGCTGGCTTAGGCCTGCTCCTGGGTGGCAGAGGGCACGTCCAATCCCTAGGTGCAGCCCCTGGTCGGGCTCAGAGCAGGGCTGATTGGGGAGTTGGGGCGCTGCCCCCTGTCATGCACAGAGCAGGGCAGATCGAGAGGTTGCGATGCCACCCTCAGTCATGCTCAGGGTGGGGCCGATTGGGGGGTTGGGGCACCGCCCCCTGTCACACTCAAGGCAGGGTCGATGGGGAGGTTGTGGCGCCACCCCCTGTCACGCACAGAGCAGAGCCAATCAGGGGGTTGGGGAGCTGCCCCCTTTCACACACAGAGCAGGGCCCATCAGGAGGTTGGGGAGCTCCCCTCTGTCACGCACAGAGTAGGGCTGATCAGGGTGTTGGGGCACCGCCCCCTGTCACACACAGATCAGGGCGGATCAGGGGGTTGGGGCGCCGCCACTGTCACACTCAGAGCAGGGCCGATGGGGAGGTTATGGCTCTACCCTGTCACACACAGAGCAGGGCTCGTGGGGGGAGGGGGGGGTTGGGGCGCCACACCCTGTCACACACAGAGCAGGGCCCATCAGGGGGTTGGGGCACCTTCCCCTGTCATGAACAGAGCAGGGCGGATAGGGAGGTTGTGGCCCCGCCCCCTGTCATGCACAGAGCTGCAGGGTGATCAGGGGGTTTGGGCGCTGCCCCCTGTCACACTGATCTGGTGCCAGGAGGCCTCTCGGCTCCGCTGATCCTGGTGCTGGGAGGCATATTACCCTTTTACTATATAGGATAGAGGCCTGGGGGCCGGCTGGTTTGCCCTGAAGGGTGTCCTGGATCAGGGTGGGGGTCCCCACTGGGGTGCCTGGCCAGCCTGGATGAGGGGATGATGGCTGTTTGCAGCTGGTCACACACCCTTCAGGGTGGGGGTCCCCACTGGGGTGCCTGGCCAGTCTGGGTGTGGGGCTGAAGGCTGCTTTCAGGCTGGCGGTTGTTGATTGAAGCTCCCAACCGCTCCTTTTTTTTCTCTTTTTTTTAATTTTATTCTGGGCCAGCTTTAGCTCTGGCTCTAGCTCTGAGGCTTCGTATCTGGTTTGTTTGCTGTTCTATAATTGAAACAATGTATAACTTCAGCTCTGAGATCCTGGCAGGCTGAAAGCTGGTTTCTACATTTTCAACATAGTACATAGTTTCTTAGAGTTGTAGCTCAGAGGCCGGCAAGTCAGGCGGGGAACGTTGGACTCAGCCGTCACTGGAGCAAGCAAGCCTCATGTTTGCTTCCAGCTGCCTGGCTGCCGGCCGCCATCTTGGCTGACAGTTAATTTGCATAAGGATATGCTGATTAGCCAATGGGAAGGGTAGCGGTCGTACGCTAATTACCATGTTTCTCTTTTATTAGTGTAGATAGATATTGCTGCCAAGAACTCTATTCCTGTGAGCTTTCAAATTTTTGTGAACTTATCAAACAGAGAAATGCGATGAATTATTCAGTGGTAACCCATAAAAGACTAAAAGAAGGAAATTATTATATTGGCTCTAAAAAATATTGATATGGAAAAAAATTAATTACCGCATCATTTTCAAAAGGTTCACCTGTGGCTGGTCAGTAGTTTCCATTCTCTTAACTTGTATAGGCAGAAAATCAAAGGAGGGAATCAATCTATTTCCCTAGAACTGTGTAGTTTTCAAAGAATGTTTATATGCCCAAACTATCTATTCTCTGAATTTTAAAATTATAAAAGACAACAACCCTTTAGATGTGCAGTTAATTTGCAACGATATTCATTGTTGAATCAAAGGTGATGTTAATGTTTTGTGTATTTGTTTCAAGGCTGGAAATTGAATCCAGTTGTGGGAGCCGTCTACAGTCCTGAATTCTATGCAGGTAAATAGTTTCTGTTTTGCACGATGTCTTCTTGTTCTGTTCTATCTGTGCTTTGCCTGCCAATTAAGAATGGGTTTTGGAAAAAAAAATGGAGCCAAGTAAATCCTTAAGTTCTGGGTGATTTTATGTATTTATTATTATTATTATTATTACCTTTTTTGGCAAAATCAAAAGTGTTTAAAACCCTTTGAAAAAATAAAGGGGGATTATGTCAGCTCCACTGTGGAGCAAGGATGGAGCCACTGCTCCTTAAGACATTTCCCATTGGTTTTGCCTTAAAAAAAAGTGTGGAAACTTTATGCAGATGCATATTGAGCAAATGTTCACGCCCATTTTTGGTCAGTGCCTGGATGTGTTCTTTTAGCCATACATTTGTGGGTAGAATTTTTTACCCCTGGCAAAGCAGAGAATTGAATTAGTTATTCCAATAATGTGGCAATGAGTTGGAATTGCCAAGAGAAGGACTATTGAGAAAACTGGAAAGAACTAAGTTGTCTTTCTTTCTCCATTGATCAATTTTCTTTAGTAATTCCAGTGCTCTCTGCTTTGCCATCAAGGGTGTATCTCTCTTCCCCCTTCCCTGCCTTCCCTGCAACTACCTCTCAACTTGGAAAGACACTGTAGTAGATAACTTGACCATCAAATTCAGAGAGAGAGAGAGTAGCCCAGAGCAACAGTGGCTGAGATTCTGCTTGGCTTGGCCTGTCACTTCTGCCTGTTGTGTCCTTGCTCATTAACAAGGCTGCATTTAACACCCGGGGACTGAGGAGATTTGCCCCATGGGTATGGAAAAGAGGTCTTTCTTTGATGTGACCCTTACTTTTAATAAGGAGAAAGCAATGACCACTTGGTCTGCCCACTTACTTAGTGAGTTCTTGACGGTAAGTCATTCCCCCTGCTTTGTTTTTTCTGGGATGCCTCACTGCGGTCACCGGTCACCGTCATGATACTAAGCATCCACCTTAGTGAATAACAAGGGAGCATGGGAAACTTAGCTACTTTGGTTTAATAACCAATTTGATTTTTTTAAAAAGGTAAATCTGGGAAGGTCCAATATGTGTTCTGGATTTAGATAGACAACGTCTGCAGTTGTTTGGATTTTGCCATAAGCCTGGGATAAGTCAAAAAACTCTATGACTGTGGAGTAGCAGTGTTGATGCTTATGAGGGAGGAGCGAGATAGCCATAAGGCTTCCCATGACCATATGGTGGGACCCATATGCTAACAGGACACCTAGCAGAGTGAGCAACATGGACACTGCACTCAAGACAGCCTGAGTTCAAATTCTGACCCCTCTTTTGGCAAGCTGTGTGACTCTAGGCAAGTTACTTAACCTCTCTGTGCCTCAGTGTCTTCATCTGTTAAATGGGAGATGATAATAGTAACAAACACATAGGTATTTCCAAGAATTACGTGGATTAATATATGAAGAGTGTTTGGTGCCGAGCTGGCACCATGTAAACATTGGGTAAATAGGAACAAGTTACTATTCCACCTTGTTGCCATAAGTGAAAGTTAGCAGAGCGCTGACGATGCTGAACTGTGAGTGTACCACTAGACTAAGAGATTCTCTTCTTATCTCATGAGAGGACTAGTCCTTCCGTTCTCAGCATGTCCATTTGGCGGAAGTTAATTTTGGGACCAGAAGTAAGGCAGTCTGTTCGGGGGACATAGATATTGCTGGAGTACATCCTTGTCCAAAACTGCAAATAAATGAAATTGGCCCAAGGGTACAAGCAGACCTTAAGACAGCACCTCTGTGCACCTGAAGACGCTGCCCAGTGAAATGGAGCAGCGGGAGTAAAGAGGGGGCAGATTCTGTGTGTGGTGTGTAAATGCACACTCGCCTACCTGCATGCTTTGTCCCAAAGTTATGGGTCAAGAACAAGGAGCAAGATGTCATCTGCCGAAGAGGTAGGGTATGCGCATGCCTTGTAGTAGAGAGAGGAGAGTACGTTTTTCTGGTCCCATGCAAAGTAGTTGGTCATTTTTTCTCTGGCAAACAGGAAAACACCAAATATCTTTGTCAAACCCATATGCAAAGATGTGGTTTTTTAAGAGGACAATAAGACAGAATAAACAATTTAGACTAATGCATACATTCAAGAGCAAATTAATCTGTGTAACTTTTAGAATATTAGAATAGTGATTCAAATTAGCCCTGGGCCCACCCTTAGAAGTTAAATCACTGGGCTATATAGAGAAAGAATACGTTATCATACGGGTAAATACAGGCCGAGTTCTTTCTATGCTCAGATACTGATACACACCCTATACCTAAATTAATGTGTTAAAATTCTTGGGGCAATTTTCCAAATGAGGGGACTAAGGTTCAAGGAGTTAGCATCATGGGACTAAGATGTCACAGCTGGTAGGAAGCCGGCTAGAATTTGAAAGCAAGAGGCTATATGCTTTACAACCAGGTATGCTGCTTCTTTCTTTCTTTTTTTTTTTTTTTAATATTAGAAGTCATTCTTACTGACTCTGCCCTATGGTAGCGGAGATTCCTGATCTATGTCCAAATTAAGAAGAGAAATAAGATAATGATTTTGGATTATTTCCACCACCGTCTGCCACCATATTCAGACACGTCATCCAGTTGTGTCAGGGGAAGCTTGAAGGAGTCTGACCAACCACATAATGATTTCTATGACTTGTTCCAGACACCTTAAACCTTAAAAACAGGGGGCACAGATAAGTCAGTGACGCTTGGGAAATCTGAACATTTGTGGTTTGAGTTGACAGTATCGGGCCTCTGCTTAATCAGAAGCTTTTCCCTTTTTGCCTGTATATTTGTGTCTGTGGGTAGACAGAGCTTGTGGTGGTCAGAAATGTGGGGAAATACTGTTGCAAATTCAACACTCCAAAACTATTCCTTGGAAATATTTTTAAAAAACACTGAGACTCCTGCCAGCTTAAATCTAAAGTTTCAGGCACCTGTGTCTATGGAATGCATACAGGGGTGGGCAAAAGTAGGTTTAGTTATAATACAAATAAACAAGACAATATTTAATAAATGATAATACAGGAATAAATGTACTTTGTGCTCACTCCTGTATATATAAAAATATAGGTATGAAATATATTCATTTCCATAACCAGGTATAATTACTAATGTCACCCATTTAAATACCCATGACTAAGAATTTCGGGGGGCATTTTAAATTTCCCCAAGTATAAAAATAGCCTGCGTTTATCTTGCAATTTTGAATATGCCTCAAAGCTGCAATGAAGACCCTGTCATTGATTTGCTAGGGATGTTTAGCGGGTCAGCCCTGTGTCTGCCTGAGATAGAAAGCCAGACTTATTAGTCATTTCTCTGTATAAGATGCTGTGTTAATGACACATATCATAATATTCCATAGTATAATTATCGATTTTCTGAAGCTTATGCAGAATTAACAGCCCAGCCTCCAATTGTCTCTCCGAATGGGGCATGAAAAGTTCACATATTTTGTAAATTAAAATCGATATTTTCAATCTCTCCTAAAGGTAATTTTCCTAATTTAGTGGACTTTTCCCTAACATTTATTTTCTCTTTTAATTATAAAATGGCAGGGTATTGATTTCCCTGTATAACCTCCTGACGCCCTGAGTGCATTTTTATTGCTAACGCAGGGTGGGGGTGGGGAGAGCAGTTGAACCTCTTAATGAGGATCTTTAATTACTAGCTTTGTATTAATTTGCTTTGATAAATTATGACATGCACTCTCCCTCGCCTACACAGTCCAAGGGAGGCATTCAGAAAGCTGTGCAGGAAAGTCTTTCATTTTGGGTGGTTCTTCTGAGCTCTCAGGCCTGGACGAACTCTTAAACACTCACCTGACTCGGCCCCCAGAGCAGGTAGACATAAATCAGCTTAATCCCACGACCCTGTATGAATCTTCTCCGAAGACAAGGTGGTGTTTCCCTGTTATACTAAGCAGCATTGATTAGTTTTCCATGTGTATCATCATCTTCAGACTTCTTGAGGCTTATTCTCAAGACGAAAGATTGATAAGTCAATAAAATAAAATAAAAAGTCCAGATGGGTCGCCAAGACTTTAGCCTGTCTCTATGTCCATTCCATTTTAGAGTTTAAAGACAACGGAAGGCCCCACATAGAAGAACAGTATCTACAAATGTCTGTTCCCAGTAGCATGCCTCAACTTACTTAGTGTAATTAGAATAGTGTTTCTAAGAACCTCAAGGAGGAAGGCTCAAAGGGGATTCTTACAGTTTTCCCGTCTGGGTGAGAGATTCCCTTTGCTTGCTAATAAAAAAGGTTTTAAAAAAGTGGTGTCTTTGAGAGATAATCATGATATCTAGCCCACGAAACTGTTGATCGAAAGCACCTTTAATCTTCATAAATAAGGACAACAAAATCAAAATAAATAACAGAAGGTTATGCAAAGATGTCAACATGGTACTGACAAATGGCAAAGTCATCTGTTTCTCAATTGCCGCTAAGATCGCTGCAAAGCTTAACCGCACTGTATATCATATCTGCCAACTCATTTCTGTGATTAAATATTCCATCAGTGGGGCTCTAAGGCAGCAAAGCTTAACAAGATTCATAAGATGCACCACTTGAACACGCATAACTCACTTCCAGGGATGGAGAGCACCCCGCTTGCAAAGGAAAATTGGAATCCAGTTCAATTACTCCACAAGTCGCGATCAATAAGGGAAGGAAAAGACCTTTCAGTGCAATGCAAATCTAAGATATAGTTCGGTCCTGATGACAAGAAACACACAATTCAAGTCCATAGTAGAAAGATGCAGAGTAAATTACTCAAAAGCCTTGAAGATGACAATGAAAAATTGTCTTAGTGAGACTATTACTATGAGCAGGTTTTGTATTTTTTGGGGGGAGGGGGGAGGGAAGAAGGGGTCCTGAATGTATAATCCTCCTGAAAATAAAAATTTCTGATTCCGAGGGGCAAAACAATCAATAACAGGTACTTAAAGAAGGGCATACCTGGCTGCAATGTCACATTTGAAAGGTGGTCAGGTCTTGA